TAAGGCTTAATCAGCTACTTACAAACCGCAAAACGCCTGTCGCCGCAGAGTATCGCTGTTTTGCCGTGCAATTGTCGGTTACACGTGACAGACGTGACGGTATGTTAAGCAGTAATGAAAAAAAAGAAGCGCATCGTGTTTGAATTTAACGGAACGAATTCCGCCTCTTTCTTGTATGATTCGTGTAAAATTGTTGGAGCGCGTCTCTTTCTGCTCAGTATATTTATTTATAACAGCGAGTTCTTCAAATGAAAGTTACATTGTCCTATATTCTCCATGTTCATCTTTACTCGCGACACAATGCCGATTGTAGTAGAAATAAAAATTACGGTATAATATAGAGGTAAAGCTACATAGATACAATCGAAACTTACCGGACCATTACTGGCAATGTTTTCGCTGAACTGCGAAAGCGGCAATACCAGCTGAATAATGCGCAGGTTTTTGTAAGAGCGCATTAAGCAATAAGAGACAGTGGCGCGAAAATCCCGTTCTCGATCGCCCTTGTAGACACCGAGACAGAAAGTCCCCGCGGTTAAGTTGCGCTCGCGCGTATATCATTTTCCGCGCGTAAGGTGCGCGCGCGTATATACGATCCTAAAGAGAAAGAGAGAAAGAACGGCAGATTTATGCGAACGCCGCCGCCGCCGAAACGCTCCAGCGCAATTCGCGTCTACAGCAGACGTGACCATTAACCACCTTTGGAGGCCTTGAAGCAATTCAACGCAACTCTCCCTTAATTTATCGAGTTTAGCAAACGACGTTGTAATTTAGGCGTCTTTGTAACGTTCGCTCGTTTTATATCAAAAATGTCATCTGATAACATCATTATAACATATGGCTCATTTTGTGAAAGATAACTGCGAGAAAGAAATAAACTGTTTCAATGTCAAGTTAATAAAGAAATATTTGCTAATGTCAACATCTGCTGTCTTGGTGCATTTTGAGAAATCACTGCCCATTCTTGGAAGCTTCTTTAGTTCTTCTTATTTACGATGACGGTTACACCTGCGTCATCATATTTACTGTAAGAATCACTTGTCGAAGAAATTTAAGACGTATGCGCTAATGAATTTTTACGTATGTCTGTCGTTTCGACAGTTTTAAACGAATGCCTTTGTTTCTCTGAGAATTCTTTCTTCACGTTTTACGTTTACATTTTCGTAGTCAAAATAATCTATATAATTAAAAATTAGGAGCCTGTAGTATAAGGAAGAACATTCAATCAAATTTTTCTTAAGCAAATATTAAATTCGTTTTTTTTTTCCTGAGAAAAAAACAAATTTAATATTAGCTTAAGAATCTGTACAGAGAAAGTAGTGCGCGAAATCAGGTTGTCGATTTTTAAAGCTAATGACGTTTTAATTATACCCCCAAGGAACATAACTTTATTTCACAATATAGTCACGCCTGTGATTTTTTTCAACATTCTAACTTGCAAAGTTGATAGAAAAAAAGTTAATATTAATTATCAATTTTATTTAAAATATCGAAATTATAAAATAAATGAATTAAAAAATAATCTGTCTTTTTTTTGTCCAATAAAGAGAAAAAAAGAATGAGTAGGTGATATAGCCGGATTTTCAGATATTATTCTAGCTTTCTCTTTTAAAATAATCGTTATACTAGTTCGTTTCCTTGCTTGAAAAAATATATAGCAAACATAAATGATAAAACAAGCGAAAACCAATAAAAAAAGTATAAAATATTGAAATCTAAAAGTGTAATATAAATATTTTTAGATATTAAATTATCGATGAGCATCGTGATGTACTGAATGTACTTTCGTTTCCGTTTATTCTTACGAAAAATTCTTAAACTTTTTGTTTAAGAATTTAGATTAAGACAAACTTTTTGTATTTGCAACATATGCTGTTAAAAGATAAATTTATATTCAACGTTTCTTTCCACCGTTTTTTTTTAAATCTATTTTCGCTGGTTTGTCTGAAATCGTACAAAAACGAACACGGTGGAATATTTTACATTTATGTTCTCATTAACGATTCGCCTATTCAAATTACATATTAATGATCCTAGGTCACATCAATTTGCAAAAAGATATTTTTTTCGATACCGTGCAACAAATCTGGTTTTGACGAAACATCAGACGAATCCTTGGAGCGATTAATAATTTAATTATTGACTTGAATCTTTTAAAAAAGTTAAGTTATGCAACATTTTAATGAGCAAAATAACGAAAAGTTATTCTATACGACGTATATAGTGCATATTTCTAGATATTCCCGAGATATTACGTATTTGCAAAAATATGTATTTACATATTACGATTAACTTGTTATTGCAAAAATTTTTTTGCAATATTGACGTAGTTCTTTTAATCTGTTCTAATTACTATTACTGCGGCAATCGGTCGATTATGGATGTGTGTTTTCTAAATAAAACAATCATAATGAATAAAACGATGGCATTTACGACAATTGCGTGCGTCAGCAATATAATTGCTTAATTGACGGTTTCAGCAGATATGATTCGATGTAACGTGGCATTTATGTGTCGCAGAATAATTAACCGTTATAATCTTAAACTGAAGTATATCGTTTACTGTCCGATATTGTCGTTTTAAGAAATAAATTCTATCTAGTGTCTCATAATGTTTCAATAAATTTATCAATAATATGTATTCACGCAGCCAATGCGGTGAATTTAAGAACTACTTTTGTTAAATTTCATTATATAAATTTTATGTAATTTTTTAATTAAATTTTAAATTCTATCTATCCAAAATTAATCTCTCGCAAAAAATTCGTTATTTATTTCTTTTCTTATAGGATATATTAAGAGATATATTACAGAATATATGAAAGATCTTACATAAATGGATTAAATAATGGCTCTTTTGTAGAAAGCTTTAATAAAATTTAATGATTTGGCAAATGTAGATGTATTATGATACAATAATTATGTACGATTGTTTCATATTTCCAATTTATATAGTATTTCCTAAGTACAACATTTACAACTGTATCGTAATATCGTCAGAGAATTATCATGTATGTAGATTATTAATATTAGCTTGGAGCGGAAAGGATAATTTTTTAGGATAGTTAATGTAGTTCAAATGTGAATAGTTAAACAGTTGCGTTCAGATTGATTGTAGGTATATCAAATGTACAGACGGCGTTATTAATGCCTTCTCATATGTAATTATATATTTATGGATTTATCGCGTAATAATTATTTAAATTGAAATAATTAATATGTCCTTGTATTTCTTTTCTTATTTCCTTATATCTTAGAACGATCCTTCATAGTTTAACCTTCCTTCCGCATACTCCTTAGTTGCCAAACTGACTGCTCCCGAGAAACCGAAAGATAACAATTTCTTCAAGAACCAACAATGATATGCACAAATAATTAGACGCGATGTGCCCACCTATTATTTGATTCGGACGCGACTATTTTCAGTTATGAAGGCATTAATAACGCCGTCTGTACATTAAATATACGTTTAAAATTGTTATGAAAATAATAATCATTCTGCTCCTTTCTCTTCTATAGGATTCCACTTATTTGTATGTATTTCCGCGGTGTTTGTCTCATTCTACAATCTTTGTTATTGTCGGTCGACTTTTTTGCAATACATATAGAATGCAAGCAAAATAAATTCTTTTTCTTGTCAATTAATATTCATTTACACAAAATTTACTTCATATTGACACCATTGTATCTCATTGTCGTGTAATGAATGCTTGAAATTATAGTTTGCACGTTGACATTATTCAAATTTATAAAATTTATCGAAAAAAATATGTTAAAAAATAATATTTTTAAAACATAAAATATAAGATATAATATAATAAATATAAAATATAAAATAGTATGCTGGATAGAATATAAAACACAACACACATTTAGGACAAAGTTTAAAATATATAAATAATGGTTTTACACATAGTTCAAAGAAATAATTCCAATCTTGTCGCATAACTATATGGAATATTGATTTTTACGTCACTATTCGCAAAAAGGGCTATAGTTAAAAGTTATAATAATAATATTGCTTGAGCAAAAATATTAATTTTCCTGTAGCTTTGACCGAGTAACTATAATATTGACACGCATGCGTTGCGCCAAAAATAATTTTTGCATAAATATGCATACTTCACATTTGCGTAATGCGTGTCCGACGAGTCATCGAAAGACGCAACGCTGACTTGCTCCTCGTCGTACTTTTCCTTCGCGATCGGTCCGACCAGTCTTCTTTTTCGCCTTTTCCTTTCCCTTTTTAATTTCGATTTCGTTTTGCATTTCAGGCAAAACCCAAGAATGAGTGTCCAACGGCGGGACTGCGAGGAGTGAAAGTGAAGCTGGGGGAACGTGCGTCTCTTACCTGGACCAGGTGTGAAAGTGCAGTGCGTAATACGAACGTAAGGAACACGTGGTGTGGTGGTACCTGTCGAAACCGCTATCGACACGACGACGACGACGGCGGCGGAGGACAGGAGGACGAGGCAGTAGCCTGATGATAACGACAACGATAATGATGACGCAGATGCGCGCTCACCGCGAGAACAATGCCCAGTGCAGTGACGGTAGATGATAATGATTATGATGATGATGATGATAACGATGCTGATGATGATCTCCTGCATACGCAACACTCATTCTGGGTCAACGTGCTTACAGCCGCCAATTAAAACATATAGTTGGTTAGTCGGTGTCTAGCGGATTATCTAATCTTTTTTTATTCAACTTTCATTCGGCTGATGATCGGACGGTCTCGTCCATCAGTTCGTCGGTAATTGACTGTTCGAAGACTATCGAGCACTCCAGTGCGAATAAAAGTGCGATCGAAACAAAGAACTTGCTCGACAAACATTATTTATAAGAAACGTATAGTTCACGGCTAAAGTAATGTGATTGATTCGGATCAGTTGGTGTCTTATTAGCGTTACAATTGAGTGAAAAATCGATTGTTTTATCGACCAACGAAAGGAGATTATTTTCCTTTACAACGTGAGTCAAATCGTACAACGAAGATGAAGTTCATTGCATCTCTGTTCGGGACGAGGTCCCCGAAGGCGATCGGCAGGCAGTACATGAAAGTCGGCAGAAACGCCCTTTTCGGTGTGAGAAATGACGACAGTGACAATATTTGTACCGAAAAGGTGCCGAAGCCGCTGTCCCTGCTAATCTCCAGGAAGGGAAAGCTTAGGCATGGTGAGTAACTTTTATTCAACAAAAAAAAACTGCTGTAATAAGTTTTACATTTAAAGCGAAACCTTGTTGCGCTCGGGAATTTCTACATCTTTTCTATTTCTATCTTTATATAATGCTCATTTAATGCATCTGAAGTATTAATTATTTGAACTTAATCTTGAAACGTAAATGTTGAGCAACGACAAGGTTTATTCTTGCGTAATCCGATTAATCCGTTCTAAACCACGATTCTTGGCTGCAATTTTCTACCGCGTCTAATGATAATACGTTATTAGATGCTTGCGGACTCGTGCTGGCAACCAGACCGGAACAATATTACAGCATGAGTAGTAAATTGCCATTGTTCACTCGACACTTTCCTTAATTAGTTATTATCTGAAAAGGTAGTCGATTTAGCGTTAATTGATCTTTATGAGGTATTCTGCTAATAATGTTATCGCTTGAATGCGCAAGTCACGTTGATCGTCAGAGGAATACGGTGTAGATATGTGACAAACAGTTTCTTCACGGTGAGAATCATTGAAGTATATACCGGGTGCTTTGAAGATATTTTAATTTATTTAAATTTATTTGTTACTTCTCATTTTCATAAAGTATATTAAAATTATATGCCGCTAACAGTTGATTTACTATAACAACAGATAATTTATTCACAAATTTTTGTTGAAAATTGATTGTGCAATTATTTTTCTGTCCACTGATATTTTGAATATAAGTTAAATTTAAATTACTTTTGATATTATACATGTATATAAAATGAGAACACAAATTGTTATAAAAATTATATGTTAATTGCATTTAACTATAAACTTTCTAATAATAGAATTTTTAAAAAGTTAAAAAAAACATTAACTTATATAATTCTTGTTTTTATTTAATTTTTTGATATTGAATATTTTAGCACGAAAGACAATAAGTTTTAATGTCAAGTTATTAATGCGCGCTTCCGTGTTGAAACAATATGTTTTCTTCCTTCTGATGAAAAGCAATGCGATCACCTTATATCAACGATTTATCGTTCACGAATAACAGGTATCAAAGTGAGAGTCGCCGCGTATCAAACCGCAACTCTCACCATTTAAAGAGCATGCATAATTAAAGTTGCGTACAAGGTCGACCAGCCAATTCTCGTTACATAGTCGAAATATTCTTGTTATCTTGATAAACTAAACCAGAGAGAGAGTTAGTTTGCTGATCGTTAGATTCGCGGTGATTCGTGCTGTATAGCGCGCAGGCGATTAGGGTCGCGATAGCTCTTGCCATGTTCCACGTTCAATCCTTGTGAAGCCGCGCCAATAAAAAGTGTCTGATTAAGTGCCTCGTTTTTTTGCACGTAATCTCATTAAACTTTTTATTATTATCACGTCATATTCTAGATATTGATTAATCTGTTTCTGACGTTCGAACGTTTACGATGAATCTTATAACGATGTTTATTTCAGAGTCCATGTTTTTTCTTTCAACTCAAAAAAGTTGTTAGAATGTCTTTGTTAACATGTCTTTAATTATAAAATGAGTAACGCAATATAAAAGATTTTATAAATTATATATTTTTTTTAAACAAATGCGCCTTAAATTTTCTAAAAAATTGATAGTTCGGAGAAAGTTTGAAACATCTCTTATCATATTAGATCTTATTCTGACTTACGATTGCTCAACATTGTAGGCTATATGCAATCACTGGAAATTTCAAAATAGTACTGAAAGGGTACGCAATGTCTTTCAATTATTGCTGCTTATTTCAATGAAAATATTTAGATCCTTTAATTCACTTTTACTTTTTCTTCATAAAAATTTAATTAGACATTTTCTCCTCTTGTAGATTGATAAAAAGAGATGTGTAGATAATATATGTGATAACATTTCCTGGAACTTTGAATATATTTAACACATTTTAATTTCACTATATTACTTTTACTTTCGTAAAACATGAAATGTGATGATATATATCTCTATTACTAGATAATGAATACCTTTCACATTTTTTCAGAAATCTTAATGCCAAATAATATCAAATAACAGCAAGATTGAACTCCTAGAAGCATGATTCTAATCATTGCAATTTACAATTTTAACTTCGTAGTTTGTCAAGGCGTGTCCATAGTATTGCTAATTAAATTTCAGTATTTCGTCAAGAGTAGTAATTACACGATTATAAATTAATAAAACACCGTTATTAGATCGTTTAAACGTTGGACATCAGAATACATGTTCGTTATTCCGCATACATTCTGCGTGTATCTTATGAATATAAATGTTAAACTTTTAAAAATAACTTTAAATATTTTAATGCTTTAAACACCAGAAAATGATGCCCTGGATAATGGGTACACGGGTATTTTAAGACAACAAATCAACATCAATATTTGCCCTTTAACAAACATGAGTTCTGTAACGATAATATCCATACTGAATTTATGTGAGTCAAAAGATTAATAATACAGTATAATTAATAACAAATCGATTAAGATCTATTAAAAATTGCCTTTAACTGATGACAAAAGTTGTAATGACCAAGATATTGACAATCTTTTGTCATATAAAATCTTTGGTAAAATTCTTATTAATTCTTTCTTTTACGAAAAAAATCAATGTACATTATCGTCAAATAATTCTATAAGAAAGCTGATAGCAGTGAAATATCCTGTATATACTTGTGCACTAAGTTAAATACCATGTACAACATAACAGAGGCCGAAGTGCAGTGGGTCAGTGGAACGAGGAACGAGTGATAGAGGACAGGTTGCACAGCACAGTTATATACGCATCACTTCGATTAGCTTTACTGTCGCCCATTAGTTTATCTTAACATGCTTTTGTAAAAACTTGTTACTTTAAGAAATCATAGAAACGGAATTTTCTATGTATATTGTAATTTAGGAAATTTCTTAAGAAAGTGTATATAACACTATATAATAATAATTTATACACACACA